CAGCCTCCAGGGGAGCCTGGCCTCCCTGCCGTGGTCCAGGTGGAGGTGGAGTCCTTTCCAGGCTGGCAGGGTCATGAGGAGTGGAAGGGTTAGTGATAGGATCCTGTCCAGGGGGGATGGATGGGCTGCTCTGGCTGCATTAACAGAGTCCAGGGGAGGCAATTTTGGCTGTTGGACACTGAGAGCTGGGGTCTCTTCTCCAGTACAGGCTGCCCTTGCTCCTGTTTGCTGTTATTGAGACAGTAGATGGTGTTTTGTGATAACAATATCACTGGGGAAAACCATGCCATGTCAAGAAAGACTTTTTAATATGATCTGTCACAAGAGCAATAAGAAAAGGACAAAAACATGAAAGCATTGCTGTCATTTCAACAAAACTAACTTTTGCAGAGCTACAGCTCTGGAAGAAAAGCTGCCCTTTGAAATTCTTACATCCAGGGAAAGCTCTCTCCCCAGATTTCCAGCCAAGTAGCTGGGAGTGTGACATCATGCTTCTCAGCAGACATTATTAACTCAATTAAACTAAAGAGATAGAAAGTCAATTACTGCACCCTAATTATACAAAAAATGGATAAACAAGCAACAAAAAACAATTATATATTTCACTCTGAAATTAAGATGTTTAAACCACTAACAATTTAAATCAAAGAAACAGTAGTAAAATCAGTGTAATGTTACTAATTACATCATTTCATCTTCTGAAGTCAGATACATAAATTTTTGTTGACTTGGTGTATTTTGGCATTTGTAAGTGTAGAAATGGAACATGAATGGGTCTGTCTTACCCAACAGTGCTAAGAAGTACATCTGCTGAGGGAGAAACTGAGTCTGCAGTGATGGGAAGAACAGGCTGATAAGGAAGCTTCCTGCAGGGGTGGGCAGTGCACTCAGGAGTGGGCAGTGCTCAGGTCACTGGCACTCAGGGGTGGGCAGTGCTCTGGTCACTGGCACTCAGGGGTGGGCAGTGCTCTGGTCACTGGCACACCTCAGGGGTTCAGCCTGTTTGTGCCTCCGAAACTCGTGTACAGCGGGTTGGTTAAACTCCCAGCTGACATATACAGACTCTGTGTGATAATTACCTGTGTTTTCTACATCAACAAGAGTTACAATAGCAGAATTGAAGCTCGGTAGTGCTAAACATTTTCTGTGGCAACTTTGATTTCAAATAGAACACCATATTTATTCTTTTAGGCACATAGTAGAGAGATAATACAAATTATAACGTACTGATTATAATGTCCTACTTGAAAGAACCTCTATATAGACCTTAGAAAGAAAATTACTTGTGTTTTTTGTAGAGTAAGAAGCTGAGCTTGCAGTGATGGAAAAAATGCAAGGGTGTGTAATAATCAGTGCCCACAGTGACCCCAGGTTTTCTAACAAAATCATCTGTCAAAAGATCTGACCCATCCAAATACAAGCTGTGGAAATGCAGCCTTCTACACCATTGCCTCATACCAATCAATAACAATTCAATCCTGGCAGAATTCAGGCAGAGCCTATTATAAACCATCTAAAACTGAATTGCTGTCAAAGAATTAGACATGAAGGGGATTGCCATACTAGTATCTGATGGGAAAAAATAGTTTAGTACAGTGGGACAGTTACAGGTATTGCTTAGTGACAACTGCTTCAAAAATCTAGAAATATACTGGGAATATTTTAAACATCTAAACATAAATGAGGATTGATAGCCTTGGCTTTGATCCTGGCAGGAACTAAGGCAAGAGAAAATATGGTTGTAGTTATTCTTTCCCATTGGTCAGAAATCTGTCAGACCCATGTCTTGATTCAGAATAGAAGGTAGACTTCACTCCCAAATATTTAATTTGTATAAAGCTCCAGTTACTCCTGGATGAAAAAGAACTGCATTTTCTTTTTGCAGGAACAGAAAAGAGGAAGGTGTTGCAGTATCAGAAGAATGATTTTTTTATTTTTTTTTTCTTTTTTTCCATTGCAGAACTCAGAATGTTCTCACTCTTGGATGCCTGTATGAAAATGTTTTCCACCAAATTGTTATTTTATCTTTTTTGTTCTAATCTGAAGGCAAGCGTAGGGATTATCAAATGTTTTGCCACTAATTGGGTATGTCCTGTGACATAATATGGAAGGTTCCTTTCATAATGGTGTTATACTGAGTAGACACATTATTATTAGCTGTCTGCCTACACAAAAAGAGTGAAATACTTCTTACTGCCTGCACAATAAAGAAAAAAAAAATCTCATTTTATATAGTGTTTGAGAACCCCCCCTAACAATGAGAGTAATCCTGTGCTACTTAGAAATTTGGTTAGATGGAGGTACCTTGAGAATATTGCTCCTTGAGCTCCCTGGTGCTTTTAGGCCAGGCTTGGCAGGCAGGGGCAGATGGCTCGTTATTCAGGTCCCTGTAAGTGCCCTGGTACAGATTGTCTGCCTGGATGTGCTGGGAGAGCTCTTACTGCCCAGGGAGATGGAACTGGGCCATTAGGGAAACAAGGAAATGGGAGGTAATGGCTGGTTAATACCCTCGGGCTGAGGGGGTGAGGTATTTGCTCTTGAACCGTGCCTGTCAGTGAGTGAAGAGGTAATTTCCATGTTCTCTTGGACTTGATGGGGGTAATCAGATGTTACTTTAATTTGTGGGCTGCCTTTGTAAGTCATGGGCCCTGCTGCCCGTGTTGTGTTACTCCCAGGGCACTCCTGGCCACACAGTGGGTCGCTGCTTTCTCCTCCTGCCTGCGTTTGCCTTTCCCTCAGTGCTGAATCCTCCCTGCCAGCTGGGGCTTTCCGAGGAGATTCTCCTCCCTGCTGACTGCACTCCGGGGACCCGGGGCTGGCAGCCACACTCCACCTTTGCAGCTCTGCCTCCTTGCCTTGCCTGTTCTCCTTCCTTTGCTTCTCTCTTGCCACCAGTGCCTTCTGCTTCTCTCCTAATCTGGCCATCACTGCACCCTGTAAAAAGGGGAAAGGCTCAGTCCCAGTTAAGAATCATAGGAAAGGATTGTAATAGTTAAAAATCACTCTATGAAGAATGTCTTCTGAACCAGAAAGCCAGAGATTAAGGTTTTAACTACTCAAAGGGGACAAAATTGCCTTTGTGGTTATAAATAGCCTTCAAAAGGAAATATTAAATGGGTTTTTTGATGGAGAAAAAATATTTGGCTCTGTATGTAACATACTGAAAATCTGTGAATTTCTTGGTTCTTGAGCTTGTGATTTTTGTTTATTGGTGACAGTACCTGGGAGTCTGCAGCTGCCTTTGGCAGTGTGGCATGAACCAGGATCAGCCCCAATCAGTTCTCTTCTCTCGAGGTTCCCTTCTTGCTGCTGCTTTGGCACAGAACCCAGTTCTGTATCCTCACTGTATATACTGCATCCCCACTTGTGGGAGTTTTCATATGATCAAACCTGCAAAGAAATGCCCTGTTGAGCACACATGGAATGCTGTATCTACATCGTTACCCAAGGGCACAGTGAATTAAGAAACTTTCTGGTTTTCCTTCGATTATACCGATGCAGTTTGTAAATATGGATTCCAGAGCAGGAGACAGTGCCCTGAAGATAACAGCTGTGCCATCCATGGTAGCTCACTGTACACTGCTGTGAGCAGCACATCAAACAACTTCATTCCAAACACATGGCTGTGTCATGGATGCAGAATGGCTTTTACATTTTCCTTTTAATTTACCCTTTTGCTAACTGTATTATCTTCCCAATAGAGCTGTTTATCAGGGTGGCGATTAAGTGGAGTCTACTTTACATTGTGTCTTTTGAAAAATATCTAAATTAGGATGATCTAAAACTCCAACAAATTATGGGTACTTCAGTTGCTTATGTTTGTGCTCCATGGGCAGCAATTTACCCAGTGTTTTTCCAATTCAAGTAAATGGGAGACAGCTGAGGGTTAGCAAGGCTCATCTTACCAAATCATAGATATTTTAAACAGCTGGCAATAAACTGTAATTTATATCTATAAAGTAAAATATTTATCCAGAAGAAGTACCTTTAGAATATACTTGAAAGCTGCATCTGAGCTGACATGAAGGGGAGCTTTGTATCTTATTGCCATGGGCTAGGGCTTCAATTTATAATTAATTTATATGCTGTTCCTCTGAAATGCCATAACTTTTATTATTAATCAATTTAAATTGAAAAGAAGTAGTAGTTCTAAGAATTAAAACCAGACTTCCTTCAGTAATTGAATTCATCAGACTGGTTTCATAAGCAGTAAATGCAGCTGAACTCCACAGTGAGAGCAAACAGTAAAGTTAAATTCGTGTACATCGTGAGCTTCACGAAGTCTGTGTTTCTCTCATAGTCTTTTCTAAACTGTTATCAGTGATTTTCTGAAGAGGGCTGAGCAAATGAGTTTTCCAGTGCACTGACAGTTATGATAGTTCTTAAAAATCTTGACTTAGCTTTTTCCATACCAGTTTCTGATTGTTGAAAGTTTTAAATGTGTTGCCTTTTAAAATCTCTTTCCTCTCATTCTTTCCAATACCTGGAGATTTCCTCTGGCTTGAAACACCCCCAGTGTTACAAGACTTGCAGGCCATTCTTTCTGCTCTTCACTAATCCTGTGACATGTCATTACATCTCCATTGAACTCACGGGGCAGCCTCACTTTATGCCCTAATTTGGTGATCTGGCAGTGGGGTCTGTGAGATCTGCAGAGTGCAGGTTGTGTTCAGTGATCCCAACACCTGAGGGACCATGACAATTCAGTGGTGTTGAATAAGATCAAGACCGTTTTGGTCTTTTGAAATAAAGGCTGTGCCTGTAAGGAGGTGAATGGGGTGCACTGAAGAGCTGGGCCATGTGAGCAGCCTGCAGGTAAAAAGAGATTAATGTGTAGTAACTCAGAGCAACCCAAAGCCTCAGCTGTGGTCTCCAGAGGTAATATCATTATTTGGCTTCAGATATATAGATAAAAGAGTATTTTCCTAATGTTCCTAGCAGTGTTACAGCTAACTTTGTAATATTGCAGTATTTGTTCTGATGAGATAATATTTGTTCAGGTGGGATGGAATACTGTTGGTGGAGTTTGCCACTTTGAGGAAAGCCTGAAGAAATAAAGCAATAGAAGCAGACTTCAAGTGGAATTTGCATTCTTTCTTGCTTTGCTCTCTGATGAGAAGGTAAGGAGCTGCTGTTCCCTGTTAGTCTCAACACCTGCTCAGTAAAGGTCAGTTGTTGTAATACTGGTGTCACACTCACAGAGCTGAGCTGCTGTGGGAGCTCACAGACAGGGCACTGCATTTCTCAGCTCTGGGAGCTCACAGACAGGGCACTGCATTTCTCAGCTCTCATCTGCCTGTGGCTGCATCAGCAGTGACCTCATATGTGCACTGTGGCAATGCTGTGGTAGAGACTAGAAGTGAGTAAATCAGTGCATTTGGTGTGTTGGTCTGGGCTGGCATCAGTCTGATGTTCCAGAGCTCTAGTGCAACCTCAGCCATCTGCTGAGCAGCAAAGGCCCTGCTGAGGGGCAGTGCTGCCAAGCTAGGCCAGTCTGCAAATCGGCTACGTTGCTCTTTTTCACTTGGGACTTACTTGAATAATGATTTTGCCCCGTGACTTATTTCTCTATTAAATTTCACTTAAAATTTTAGCTTTCTCTTTTGTCCGGTAATTTGTGCTGTAAATGTAGAACATGGTGTTAGGTGCCACAGTATGCACTTATGCTGCTTAAGCTGGATTGCAAGCTCTCGTGACCAGTATTTTTTTCTGCTGCAATCCTTTTAGGCTGGGAAGCCTTCTAATCACTATTTATATACACAATCTCTGCCTATATACACAGTGTTTCCTGAGTCTAGAACTGGCATATGTACATTTCTAAAATGCTAAAATAGTTACTTTCTTTTATTTCTCTGATTTAAATTTGTAGACACCTAAATACAGTCAACTCTGACTCATATTCAGCAATTACCTAGATGTGAGTTAGCAGGAATGTCAAGTTTAGCCCAGATAAATAAGGCAGTCTACTGAAAGTGGTTCAGTGCAATACCTTAATACCTTTCTGATATAGTTAAATATTTTTTTAATGATACAAAAGGCATTATTATTACTATTAATAGTAATGATTGATCAAAGCCATAAATTATAATTTTTACATATCCTTGTTTATCTGAACTTTCCACTGGGAGATGTGACCCAACTTAAGGAGATATTTGGCTGTCTTTGGTTATCTTTCTGTATCTCTGGTCTCTTTTTTTGTGGTCTGTTTTCTCCCAAATATTGAAAAGTCCTTTTTTTTTTTTTTTTAATTCTGTTGTGTTTGTTTGGATGTTTGTTTGTTTTGTTTTAACAGAAACAGAGTTTTTGGGGTTTGGCAAGCCCTAGTTAACATATAAGTCTCCCTGGCACATATTTGACAGTGTAGTCTAGAAACACGTCATTGAAACTGTGCAAGTTCTACACTGTAGTACTAAATGAGGAACAAAGATATGGGGACAGAAATGCTGGTTTTGTGAAAAGGTGCTACATGACTCAGTGATGTTTTGGAGCTCCTGTGTTCACCTGGCTGTGCCTCTCAGAGTCCCTTTGCTGGGCATTAGCTGCAGCAGGGCTGCACTCTGTTGGTTCTTTACCCTCCCTCCTCTGTGCTCCTGCTTTTCCAGACCTGGTGTCTCACCCTGTGAACATGACCCAGTCTCACAGTTCCTTTCTCCTTTCTCCATCTATTATTTAGCATTGCTCTTGAGGAAGGTGCACATTGCCAGAATAAAATCAAACTCAGCCCCGTGGGCTGTTCTGACTGAGAATTCCATCCTGGTTCAGCTCTCTTCCTGGAGGGACTGGAACAGCAATGACAGCTGTAGTCCAAGTTTTACTAATGTGATTTCTTTGCAGATAAATTTACTTATTTACTTGCAAAATTCTCTTCCTTTAGCTGTAAATACAAATGTAAACGTATCATCTCATGGTCTCCACAGATTTGCCCTGGGTTCTGGTTCTGGCAGGGTGTAAGCTGCAGGCAGCAGGTGAACATCCCCAAACAGACTGATCAGTAAAGGGTGCACAGTAGAATTCTTATAAAACTGATGTCTATTCCCAGTGCATTCCTGTGCCTGGATCCCTGTCACCATGGTAGAACATCATCTCTTGGTTTTAAACTTTCTCTGATACTTTAACTGTGAGATTTTTGGCTTTATTCTGTGCATACAGAACTCAAGTGTAATATGCCTTGTAATCAATAATGAAGTTGAATTCACTATAAAATATTTACTTTAAGATGCAGAGATGTGCCAGCTTTTTCACAGGAAGCTATGAATAAGCTAATGAAAGAGGGGAGTACACTGTAGCCGCTGTTTATGTGGTAACAACTGCAGACTTGAAAAGCAAATGTTAAGCAAAACATCTTTTGCCTTAGTTAGGCAAGAAAACAGTACTTTAAAATGCACCTTTAAAGTTTAATTTAGCAATATACCAATTTTGCAAGTTTCTGATCTTTGTTTTATTTATAAATCTCAAAAAAATCAGCAACCAAGGCATTGTGAATTGTAGATAATGAAGAAAAGGCCAAATGTGATATAATCAATCCGTGTCTGTATTACAAGCACATAAAAGTAGAGCTATGCAAAATGTCCTCAAGCTGTTCCCATAGGTGGCTTCTGTAAAAACAGAAGTCTCCTCATTGTATATGTCTTAATTTTTCTCTTCTTGTTGAATCAGTTTTTGCACGTTTTCCTTTGCACTCCTATACATAACTGTTGCTGCCTTTTTGGGTGATTTAAGCCCATGAAAAGATGGAGTTGAAAGACTCCATCTACAGTGTAATGCCAAGGAAAAGGGAAAAATGAATAAAATTTTAAAGTGAAGAACAAGAAAGAGAAGGGATGTCTGAAAGTTCCCTAAATGGACTAAAGAATGCTAAAGTATGCTGAGGCTTAAGGACACTTTCCCATCAGCCAGGAAGAAAATGAGTGAAGTTTATTCAGTACCTTTTCATTTTTCCTGGGCTGGCACTTTTAGAATTTCAATCTAAAGGATCTCCATTAGGCATGGTTAAAAAGCTAGGCATAGGCTAATTCCACAAGAAATTTGGGAGTGAATTCCTTTCACAGAACAGTGCTAACACAGGCACTGGAGCTGCAGTGTGTCAGCTGCCTCTCAGCTGTTTGACACTTTTGTCTCCAAACTGCAATATCTTGGTATGTTCTTAACTTGTTCCAGAAAAAGAGAAGTGAAATCATAGAGGGGTTTTTTTCTTTCTTTTTCTATTTTTCCCTTTAGGTATAAATTTTTTTCCTTTCACAGTCTGTAAATGCTGTTCCCCAAGCATACCCAAGAGGCAATATTCCTAGAACAATGGGTTTAATCCAGCTACTGGAATATCTGCTGCAAAGTGTTGCTGATCCAGCCAGGAGGTGCTGGGCTGCAGAGGGCTGCTCTCTTTTCCTGGGGCTGGTCACTGGGAACACCAGACAGCCCTGATGGCTGAGCAGAGAGGTTTGGTATTTAAAAAAAATGATTTGCTCATTCTTTTTGAAGGATTTCTTCCACTCCATTGATTTTCAAAATAATAATTAAAAACTCCCACTGGTCAAAGCATTTTGTAAAGTTTTTTCAAAATATAGTATTTTGTTTCCGATTTTCTTATTTCAGCAACGTGATGTTAAAGTTCTGAATTCTGCCATGGCAACTTTTGCAGTCCTTTGACAGAAAAAACAGCACTAATTAAATGCGTTTCCTATTAAGGATGTTTGGCTGGTATTATGAAACACATTACCCTTTCATTTTTATTATCTGATTATCTGTTCTGGATAATACCAAAGTATGAGAGTGGAGAATTTAAAGAAAAGTTGGGCCGTTTCTAAACAGTTCCCTTCAATGGTGAGTTTCTAGAGAAAGCTAGCTTAGATCACATCAGCTTTTCCGTGTCCACTGTCAATTGGGGTATGAAAAGAAACATCTGCTGAAAAAAATATATGACTTTAGGAAGGAAGGGGTTAATTGGGCAGTTCAATTTAAACGTGTAACATTTGTTTTATTTAAATCCCCTAGATATCATTGGAAAGAATGTCTTGGTTATTAGTTGCCTCTTTTCTGATTTCAGGATTTATTTCCAGGACTTTCTGAGAGCCTTTGGTTTATTGAAGCTCCTGTGTTTAGGCAAATAAGGGCTGCCTTTTTCTTTGAGATTTCGTCTCTGAAAATGATTGAGTAGATGTTACACACCTTATTTCTGAAGTCATAACAATCTTTTTCTTAATAGTTGGAAGCAAATGAAACATCATAATACTTATGGTATATGGGTGCAAATGAAACATCATAATACTTATGGTATATGGGTGCAAAAAACTTCCCCACGTTTGGGTGCTTATAAATAAAACCTTTTAATTTTCTCACCTGAAATGGTGTCCAATCTTGGTTTGAAGTAATATCGACTCAAATTTTATTGCTATAATTGTGGTTTTGGTTGTTCTGAATAGTTTCCCAGGGCTGCCTTTATAAACATTGCCATCCTTTCCAGCCACTCTCAGCAGATTGCCATGTGTGCCCTGGAAATGCTTTCCATACAAGCTGCAAACAAGTGGTAGCCCAATATGGCACCCCAGAAAAAGATACCCAGACCATGGAACATTTATCAAACTGCTGTTCATGAAAAGCTGCTCTCATATGAACTGCAAGAATTCATTCTGTGTCAAAACAAACAGCAGAACAATTCAGCTGGGTGACAGATTTGGACATCGGTTTTTAGTGTTGCTTCTTGAATTGTCATAACAAAGAAATGAAGACATTTCTGCATCGTTCTACCTGCAGTTGTTTTCCACCAACCCTTTGCTGTCCGTGTCATTCCTGCCCTTTCCCTGTGGCCAGGGACAGGTGACGGGAGTGCAGGATGGGAGCGATGAGTGAGGGGGTTCAGGACTGTGGCCGGAGCAGGACGGGTGACGAGAGTGCAGGATGGGAGCGATGCCATGGACAGGGGGTTCAGGACTGTGGCCGGAGCAGGACAGGTGATGGGAGTGCAGGATGGGGGTGATGAGTGAGGGGGTTCAGGACTGTGGCCGGAGCAGGACGGGTGACGGGAGTGCAGGATGGGAGCGATGCCATGGACGGGGGGTTCAGGGCTCATCTCTACGGTGAGTCCACCCTGTCTGAGCTGAGATGGATGTTTTAAGCTGTTGGATTC